CGACATCGGAATCCTTGTAGGTGCAGACTACTACCACCAATTCATCACTAGCCCTACTAAATATCAAGGCATAAACATGTTAAATTCTGCAGGAGGCAAATTACTCACAGACCCATTATTAAGCCTGAGGAGACCTATGGCTGCAGAAAAATAATACCAATAGAAATCTAAATTTGTCAGCTGATTATACAACTCCAGTAGCATTATACTAAGGAGAATACAGCTGACTATAACATCAGAGGTTGATCTTGATATCATCATTTAAAGCTGAAGTTCATGAGGTTCATGAGGCCTCAGTGGCAAATCAGTGAACAGTAGCCTAAAACCGCTACAAGTCACTGCTACCAATGTCACTGAACCCACTGCAGTCTCAGAATCATGCTTGACTTTAATGATTGACTATTCAATCCTCTGAATCAACTAACAAAATTAAACCCAATATGGCAGCCAAATAAACTCCAGCAAATAAGCACAAGGGAGCTTGACTCACTATTTAAATCCGACAACTGATTTTGATACATTTATTATTTAATCAAGATGTACAGTATTCCATGGGCCTCAGTGTTCATATATATCAGGGATCAGTTACCTGAACAAGCTTCAAGTTAATACAACTACCTGTAATGTCAGTGATCCCACCACAATCCCAGAATCATACTTGACTGTAGTAGTTGTTCACATTCAGTCCTCTGGGTTAAATAAAATGTAATTAGGCTAGAAATTTAGCCTCCCAAGAGTTAATAAGGAAATGAAATCGCCTAAGACTTCCAACTCCTGCAACTCTAGTACGAGACATCCGTCCTATACGAACTGACGCACAAATGTGTGATTACTAACTACTAACATCAAATTATTCTAATAATTCTGAGGAGGAGTATCGGTGTTCGTCTGTTCTAAATATTGGACTTCGGCCCATGTTCGGCCCCCCTGGAATTATATTGGAAAAACCGACATAATTTAAATACAAATCCACGAGTTATTTTCCCCACAGAAGCCAGGCAAACCTCCACTAGGCAAAAAAGATCATAAAAACAAATGAAAATAAACCCCAGAAGCACACCACAACAACAGGGCATCAGACACACACACAGCCGCAGCTAGGTATGCGAGCTGCGCAAGCACTGTGCGCCCCGACCCAGTAACAAACACTCCCTACCTAGGGCTAAACGAAAGCCCCAAGACTCCTGCCGACCCCAGGGGCAAGGTCAATGTCAAGCGACAGCAACCCCTACGGGAGTGAGAACCCGAAAGCCCCAGGAAAGATAAACCCTGAGACCCAAGGGAAGTACTTACAGGGTGCCTAGGGAAGAGAACTCTAAGAGCATACAGCCTGAAGAACAGCTTTCTCCTGGCCACTGCACCACCCACACAGCAGGCACAACACAAGAGCAAAATCCTGACAGGAGAATGAGGCCAGAAGTAATGTCAGCCCCAGTCAGCTTCAGTCGACGAGCTGGGGCTGAGCAGTTGGCTCGGGTAAGCGGTTTGATGACGTTTTGCTTGTTGCATTTTTTTTGGGGGGGGGGGGGGGAGTGAGAGTTCTTGAACGTTCGGTCTTGGGTTGCAATGTACTACCAGTTGGGGTTTGTTTTGGGACACCCACCTTTCTGGGTGCCTTCCCAGTTGATGGCAGACATGGATATACTCTCAAGAGTGGAGTTTTCATAGGCCATTGCTCCCTGTGCCTATCTGAGGAAGCCAGTTTCTGGCTCGTGGTTCCTGGTAGGTAAGAACTCCATGTGACTGATGCCCCAAACTAATGTAGCATATATCAGTCCGATAGCTTCAGGGAGCCGACATGGCTCCCCACAGAAATAAACACACAATCTGTTAAATGTCCACAAATTCAATTATTTGTTATATTAATTTAATTAAATCAACACAAACCTGAAGTCAATGCAAGTCTTTGAGGCAAATACATGCAAAGCTCTCATCCTTTAACCATCTACATTCAGTAATTCCACAAACATTTGTACTCAAGTGCAGTCAATATACGTGATTACACACACATAATTATTAGAATTAAAGTCAAATACCTGTCTATGTCTTCGTCTCTTTCTATGTAGATTTTGTTCTGCCCACACTTGACTAGTGACATCAACATTGTTGCGATCTTCCTCAAGACGACGAATCTTATCTTCCAGTTCACCTTCAATTGTATCCCACAACATCACTTTCTCATTCTGTTGATAACACATTATCACTTTCTTGTTCTTCTATTAAGAATTATTAAGAATTTACACACACACACACACACACACACACACACACACACACACACACACACACACACACACACACACACACACACAGAGACAGAGAGAGACAGAGAGTGTCAGTGAGTCAGTCAATGAGTCAGTCATGTGTCAGCAAGTGAGCGAGTCAGTCGGTCAATGAGCGAGTCAGTCGGTCAATGAGCGAGTCAGTCGGTCAATGAGCGAGTCAGTCGGTCAATGAGCGAGTCAGTCGGTCAATGAGCGAGTCAGTCGGTCAATGAGCGAGTCAGTCGGTCAATGAGCGAGTCAGTCGGTCAATGAGCGAGTCAGTCGGTCAATGAGCGAGTCAGTCGGTCAATGAGCGAGTCAGTCGGTCAATGAGCGAGTCAGTCGGTCAATGAGCGAGTCAGTCGGTCAATGAGCGAGTCAGTCGGTCAATGAGCGAGTCAGTCGGTCAATGAGCGAGTCAGTCGGTCAATGAGCGAGTCAGTCGGTCAATGAGCGAGTCAGTCGGTCAATGAGCGAGTCAGTCGGTCAATGAGCGAGTCAGTCGGTCAATGAGCGAGTCAGTCGGTCAATGAGCGAGTCAGTCGGTCAATGAGCGAGTCAGTCGGTCAATGAGCGAGTCAGTCGGTCAATGAGCGAGTCAGTCGGTCAATGAGCGAGTCAGTCGGTCAATGAGCGAGTCAGTCGGTCAATGAGCGAGTCAGTCGGTCAATGAGCGAGTCAGTCGGTCAATGAGCGAGTCAGTCGGTCAATGAGCGAGTCAGTCGGTCAATGAGCGAGTCAGTCGGTCAATGAGCGAGTCAGTCGGTCAATGAGCGAGTCAGTCGGTCAATGAGCGAGTCAGTCGGTCAATGAGCGAGTCAGTCGGTCAATGAGCGAGTCAGTCGGTCAATGAGCGAGTCAGTCGGTCAATGAGCGAGTCAGTCGGTCAATGAGCGAGTCAGTCGGTCAATGAGCGAGTCAGTCGGTCAATGAATCAGTCAGTCAGTCGGTCAATGAATCAGTCAGTCAGTCGGTCAATGAATCAGTCAGTCAGTCGGTCAATGAATCAGTCAGTCAGTCGGTCAATGAATGAGTCAGTCAGTCGGTCAATGAATGAGTCAGTCAGTCGGTCAATGAATGAGTCAGTCAGTCGGTCAATGAATGAGTCAGTCAGTCAATGAATGAGTGAATCAATGAGTCGGTCGGTCGGTCGGTCGGTCGGTCGGTCAGTCAGTCAGTCAGTGCATTCCTAGTTAGTTCTTGTGATAGAATGGGCACTAACACAGGAACTAACTAGGAACGCAATTACACAATGAACTTTATTCATTTTAGTTATACAGTATAAAATATATCTTACCTGAATGTTACTCGAAGTATTACCGACACTTCAACAACTTCGGAAACACCATAGCCCCGGAAATAACGACCTGGGTACAGCCCCATATAGGCTGTTAAGGGGGCGTCAGGTTCCAAAAATGCAATAAATGAAAACTCGTTCGATTTCAATCAAACTTTTTTGACAAGTTCTATATGAAAAGTGTTTCATCTGGTCCAAGTTTCAGCATCGTAGCATAAATAGAAAGGGAGAAAAAAATATTGAAGTAGTTGTGAAAATTATGCAAAAATGGTCAAAATCGATCAAAATCAATTATCAATCAAAAGTGTCAACTGAAATCATAGCTATGACTCTTTGCTATCACAATAGCATATATTAAACAAATATTATAATTAGTTTAATTGAAAAAAAATATTTAAGAAAAAAAAAAAAAAAAGATTTATTTTTTTTCGGGCGATTTGCATCAAACTTACACACCTGACTGTACGTAAGCCTATCTGTAAGGATGCCAATTTTGGAGAAAATTGGTTGATGTCAACCTCAGCCACAGATTTTAGAACCTTAGACTTTATTCATTTCTGTTTTTTTTCAATTGACACAAACGTTTACAAAACTGATTCATTTTTTATTCAATTTACATGAAACTTACACAGTATATGTGGAGGGCATGTCTCTACATTGGAGACTTTTCATTTTTCTCTAAGTTCATTTATTGATTTTATAATAGCAATAAACATGCCATATTTGCAAAAAAATTTGGGGGAACTTTGAACATTTGTATTAGGAAAACTAAAGATGTTTTGGAAATTCTATAAATCAAAGTCCTTTTTTATATGCTAATGTGTCAGAAAAGTGTCACAGAATAATTATATCTGAAACATGTGTTCTGAAGTGTGGACTTGAAAATGTGTAAAAAACATTGAAAAAAAAAAAAAAAAAAAAAAAAAAAAAATCTCCCTTTCTATTTATGCTGCAGTACTGAAACTTGGGACAATTTCAGCATTTTTCATATACAACTAGTCAAATAATATTGGTTGACATTGAACAACTTTCATGTATCAACCTCAGACGCCCCCTTAAACCGAGTGGATACCGTTAATATTAATTCATAAATAACTATAATAACCTCAGCAGCAGTACTAACCTCAAAGTTTTGTTTAGAGGCAAGAACTTCTGCTTCATGTTTATTAGTGATGTTTTGGAGCCGCAACTGTCGAAGGATACAAGCCACTTCCAGCCTGATACGCATGGCCTCCTGAAGTTCCTCCAATGGCATGAGGTACTCGGTAGCTTCTCCCACTCGCACTTCATCTAACTTAGCTTCAACCTGAGTTACTCGTTCACGATACAGTCTGAGGCAACACAAAACATGGGGTAGAAATTGAAAATGGTCGGCAGCTTCTCCCACTTGCACTTCATTTAACTTAGCGTCAACCAGAGTTGGTCGTTCACGGTACAGTCTGAGGCAACACAAAACATGGAACATAAGTTGATAAGCCACAAAATTAAGAGCACACTAATCTCTCTCAAGACCTATAAGACCAAAAAAATTGATCAACTGATTCTGTGGAAATCCATGTACAGACAGCTTGTACATGTTAATGTTTGCAGATGATGCAAAGTTAACCCTTAAACCATGCACAATGTATATACAGAACATACAATTTGAGTAATTGTCACCAAACTGCAAACATCGTATACATACAATTGAGGGTGCCGTGCATGATTTAAATGTCCCACAGCTACACAGGGTTCACATCACCTTCCTCAGGGCTCTAGTAAACAGACGCCATTTAAAAAAAAAATCGTGGGTAACATTCCCGGGTGTGAGAGCCTCAGTACTGAGTGAGCAACTAAGGTTGGTGTACTCAGCATGAACTAACAGCACTGCTGTTCAGCTTGTGACCACAGCATTGCCTAAAAATGTCAAAATATATATGCAACTACTATTATTCAGCGATGATAGTACAGTATTACAGAAGACCCCCTGGCTGTGATAAAAATGACCAGGATTTTTATAACAGGATTGTGGTGATAATTAGCACTGTGCATGGTATGAACATAAGAACAAAGGTAACTACAGAAGGCCTATTGGCCCATAAGAGGCAGCTCCTATTTATAACCACCCAATCCCACTCATATACATGTCCAACCCACGCTTGAAACAATCGAGGGACCCCACCTCCACTACGTTTCGTGGTAATTGGTTCCACAAATCAACAGCCCTGTTACCGAACCAGTATTTACCCAAGTCTTTCCTAAATCTAAACTTATCCAATTTATACCCATTGTTTTGCGTTCTGTCTTGTGTTGATACTTTTAATACCCCTATTAATATCCCTTTTGTTATGGCCATTCATCCACTTGTAAACCTCTATCTTGTCACCCCTAACTCTTCGCCTTTCCAGTGAATGCAATTTAAGCTTTGTTAATCTTTCTTCATATGAAAGATTTCTAATTTGGAGAATTAACTTAGTCATCTTACGCTGGACACATTCAAGTGAATTTATATCCATTCTATAGTACGGCGACCAAAACTGAACTGCATAATCTAAATGGGGTCTAACCAGAGTAAGATATAGCTGAAGAACCACACCAGGTGTCTTGTTACTAACGCTTCGATTAATAAATCCCAATGTCCTATTTGCCTTATTACGAACATTCAGGCATTGATCCTTTTGTTTTAAATTCTTACTAATCATAACTCCCAGATCCCTTTCCCAATCCAACCGCAATCTCAACACCATCCAGCTCGTATCTTGTAACTATCATCATTACCTAGCCTCAGAACTTTACATTTATCAGCATTAACCCTTAAAGTGCGCATCACGTCATATGACGTGTTGGACGTTGTTCCAGTCAACTGCGCATCACGTCATATGATGTGTTGGAGTACTACGCAAGATTTAAACGGCCCACAGATACACGGGGTTCACCACACCTTCATCAGGGCTCTTGTAAACAGACGCCATTTAAAAAAAAAATCGTGGGCCAAACTCCCGGGTGTTATTGGCTTCAGTATTGAGTGAGCAACCAACCCTGACGCACGCAGCATGAGCTAACAGCACTGCTGTTCAGCTTGTGACCAAGGCATCGCCTAAAAATGCCAAAATATACTTGTTCATGCTATTACGTAGCGATGATGATATTGCAGAAGACCCCTGACTGTGATAAAACTGACCAGGGTTCTGATAATAGCAGGATTGTGGTGATATTTAGCGCTGTGCGCCATGGAGGAAGGAGTAATGCTGTGGGAGGGAGGGTGGTGGCGATGTCTTCTGACTGTCTGTGACCACCTTTTATTGACTGCACTCAGTATACCAGCTTAGTGGTTCACTATGGTGAACATAAATGTAGATACTTATATATAACGTGTGTATAGAGGGTATAAACAGCAAGAGAAGGTTTGGAGCCACCATTTTGGTGAGGGCGATGGCGTCGTCTGCACGACGCCACCGTGCAGACGACGGTGTTGTTTACGGGTTACCACGATGGTCTTTGGGCACCATACCAGTTTATTTGTACAAGTATGGTGAATAAAACAGGTAGATATTTATATATAATGTGTGTATATAGCGTAATAACACCACACAGTATTGTTGGAGGAGAAATATTAGTGCGTCTGGCCTTGAGGGCAGCAGCCATCAGCTGACTGTGTGAGGTCCTACGTCTTTGTCCCTTTACTCACCATACAAGCTTAGATGTACAGTTATGGTGAACGAAACATGTAAATACTTATATATAACGTCTGTATATGAGATATATAGCGTAATAACACCACACAGTATTGTTGGAGGAGAAATATTAGTACATCTGGCCTTGAGGGCGGCAGCCATCAGCTGACTGTGTGAGGTCCTACGTCTTTGTGCCTTTACTCACCATACAAGCTTAGATGTACAGTTATGGTGAACAAAACATGTAAATACTTATATATAACGTCTGTATATGAGATATATAGCGTAATAACACCACACAGTATTGTTGGAGGAGAAATATTAGTACGTCTGGCCTTGAGGGCGGCAGCCATCAGCTGACTGTGTGAGGTCCTACGTCTTTGTGCCTTTACTCACCGTACAAGCTTAGATGTACAGTTATGGTGAACAAAACATGTAGAGACTTATATAAAACGTCTGTATACAGTGAATTATAGTAAAAACAGTATTGTGGGAGGAGAATGTGGGTGAGTCAGATGACTGGAGGGAGGGCGGGAGTGGCTGGTTGGTACACGGCGGTCACTCCTCGTTACTTTTTGACTCATAATAGCTACTTAGTGGTTCGTTATAGTGAACAAAACATGCAGATACTTATATATAACCTGTGCTTATAGTGTAATAACCGACAAAGTATTTGTTCACTGATTGATGAACATAATTGAATCAACAATATGCACACCATATTTTTGAGTACAGCAATGATTCACTCATTTTATTATATAAATATATCAAACTACACACTATTGAATAATATTACAGCAAAAAAACTATGAAAAATCAATCAGAGACATTGAAATAATTAGGTAATTATCTCTTTGTGGCAACTCCGGCCTGACAGCTGGCGAGCAACAGACCGCCAGGGACGCATGCTGAGTCAGCGCCTATAATTTGCCAGACTTCCCCGCCCTATAGAAGGCAATATATGCCACTTACGATTTTTTTATTATTTTTCACGTGATCAGTGAACACAAATTAACAGGTTAGGAAGAAAAAATATTTTTTTTTTTCAAAATGACATGCGCCTGTGGGGATGACAGGATATTAACCCTTACACTGCTCAGGGGTCATATGGACATTTACACCCCTGTGCGCAAGAAAAAAAAAAATTCAAAAAAATTTTTTTGTCTTCTAAACAAGTTAATTTGTGTCCCCTGAGCATGGAAAAAATAAAAAAAAAACCGTATATGACATATTTTGGGCGCAATTGACCGAGGAAGTCTGGCAAAAAGTGGGCGTTGACAGAGCGGTCGTCAGACCCGGTCAGCGTCACCCGCGTTGACAGATGGGAGTTGCCACAAAGATATTATTACCTAATTGTTTCAATGTCTCCGATTGATTTTTTCTTAGTTTTTTTGCAGTAATATTATTCAATAGTGTGTATTGTAATATATTTATATAATAAAAGTGGTTAATAATCGCTATACTCAAAAGTATGATGTGCATATTAGTGATTCAATTATTATGTTTATAAAACAATAAACAAATAGTTTTGCTGCTATTACACTCTATACACAGGTTATATATAAGTATTGGCATGTTTTGGTCACCATAACGAACCACTAAGTTGGTATTGAGAGTCGAAAAGCAACAAGGAGTTACCGCCACACACCAGCCAGCCACTCGCTGCCACTCCCTCAACACACGCACTAAACTTTCTCCCCCAACAATACCAGTTGTGGTGTTATTACACTATATACAGACGTTATATATAAGTATGTGTATATTTTGTTCACCACAACTGTACAGCTAAGCTGATATAGTTAGTTCAGGCACTAAGAGTCGTCGCTATACACAGATGGCGGCTGGCGGCTCCCTCACTCTTTCAAAGTCACACGCACTAAACTTTCTCCCCCAACAATACCTTTTGCAGTGTTATTACCCTATATACACATATTATATATAAATATCTACATGTTTTATGCACCGTAACTGTACACCTAAGCTTGTAGAGCGCCCAAAGAGCATAGTGGCCACCCTCTAAACAGCTAGAGAAATCGTGCAGACGACGTCACCTCCGTCACCCATATGGTTCCTCCCAGCATAATCCTTTTGCTGTTATTACACTAATACACACATTATATATAAGTATCTACATTTGTGTTCACCATAGAGAACCACTGACCTGGTATGGTGAACGCAAACAATAACAGGTGGCCACACAGTCAGTAAACGATGCTGTCTCCCTCCGTCTCTCAGCATCACTCCTCACACAGCGCTAATTATTACAACAATCCTGCTATTATCACAACCCTGGTTATTTATATCACAGTCATTGGTCATCTGTAATATTGTCATCGCTAAATAATAACAATTATATATTTATTTTGACATTTTTCGGCGATGCTGTGGTCACAAGCTGAACATCAATGCTGTTCGCTCATGCTGCGTGCGCCGGCCTTGGTTGCTCCAACAGTACTGTGCCTCTCACACCTGAGAATATTGCCCACGATTTTTTTTTAAAATGGCATCTGTTTACAAGAGCCCTGAGGAAGCTACTGTGAACCCCGTGTAGCCGCGGGCCATTTGAATCAGGCCTGGCACCCTATGGCGTATATATACGCCATGCGCACCATGGGACATGTTACTCAGGGCGTATATATACGCCATGCGCAGTTTAAGGGTTAAACCCTGAGCATGTTAAGGGTTAAACTGCATCTGCCAATCCTTTGACCATTTCAAAACCCTATCTAGATCAACTTGAAGTGATAGCGAGTCCTCCTCCGAATTAATTTCCCTACCGATTTTTG